ACAAAGAAAAATAATTTATAAAATATCAATAAAAGTAGGTTCTAATTTGGACGCTTATCTTTCTCTCTTTACTTCATTTCAAACTTATGCTCAAATCTCTCGGAAGGAATATTGCTAGTCATAAAATAAGTAAATAATAGTAAGGTAAAAGGTCAACTAAATAATAAAAAAATATGTTGAGGATATAAATTTAAAGTTAGAGTAAGAGATGAAGCTAAAAATGTTGAATGAATGCTTTTGCAAGTATATAACCATGATTAGTGGACGATGAAGGAGAGGAAAATCTAAGCTTTCCAAATGTGACATAAAAATAATAGATATTTTTTAACTTTAATTAATTAAATAATTATTTTAATAATTAATCAAAAGAATATTTTCCTTAGTTTTATTTTATTTATTTTTTAATTAATAAATCATTAATCAATTAGTTAAATTAAATCAAAATTATTTTATTAATGTAATAATTTATAATATTAATCTGAAATAATTTTATCTTTGTGTTATAAATTGTCCAAACTTATATTTATCAATGTTATCTTAAGACGTTCAAAGTATTTAAAAATTAAATTTTATTTTTAAATTAATAAATTATTCAATTTTTTATTTAATTAAAATTTATTATCTAAAGTATTTCTCTATTAAATTATTAAATAATATAAATTTCTAAGACTCAATCATATTATATTCCTCTCCAATTAATCCTATATTTTGTTAATCTAAGTATATTTCTTTTAATTTTATTTTATTGATTAATCAATAAGCGTTTTATATTTTATTATCAAATACAATATATTTATTAATTAAATTAAAATTATTTTATTTAATTAATGCAACAATCTACAATATTAATATCTAACATTTCTATCTTTATACGTTATAAATCGTTGAAACTTAAAAATATTTATACTATTAAGTTTTTTGCAATAAATAAATATTTTTAAAATTTAAAGTATTTTTTTATTTTTAGTTCACTAGACCCCCTTTTCATTAATCAAAATATATTATTTTATTTAATTATAAATATACAAGTTTATATTAAATTAAATAATATATTCTTTAAATTAATTAGATAATTAATCAAAAATATTTTATAAGATATTTCTTCTTTTATTTACTAAAAAATTAACTTAATAATTTATTAACCAACTTAAAATCATATCAATACATCAATTTATAACATTACTATGTAGTAAAGTTACCTTGGGTCCATGCAATATAAACTTATTAAATTATATTTTAATTTCTCTTATTTAAATGATTATTTTTACTAAATAATTTGAATATTTTTTTCTTTAAATATTTCTTGTTTTATTAAAATAAAAATAATTTTATATTTTATAAAAAATTTAAGTCGTGTTCCTAATTGTAATAAATTAAATAATTACTTATTTAATCACTTAATTTTCTATAAAAAAATTTTAATTTTGATGTATAATTTATATTACCTTTGATTATTGAATAAGTCATAAAAGATTTATGTATAGTTTACGTTGTCTTAAATTTTTTTAATATGAAATTTTGAATTAAAATATATACTTAAATGCTTTTTATAAATTAAAATATATTGTCTTTATTATTATATTACTTTGCAACAATTCACAATATGAATGTGTGATCTTTCTTAGCCTTTTGTTTCTAGTCTCCAAAATGATAAAATTTTATTTTTAAGATAAAAAAAACTAATCTTACTTTTAAAGTTTTATAAATTTCAAATTAACAAACCAATTTCATAATATTTTATATAAAACTACATGACTTTGAGTTTCTCATTACACTACTCGAGGATACACAGAAGTAAGAATCAAACTCGTGAAGTAAAAACAATTTTTAAAAATAATTTTTCTTCCTTCCTATAATATCAATTAATGTTTCTGAAATATAAGTAAAAATGGTAAATAAAAATATAGTAAAAAAAAATTATTTAGGAGTTAAATAAATATTTTTAAAATTATGATGAATTTCTCTAATTAATTTAAGATAATCGTTATTTAAACAGACGTTATGTGGTGCTAATACCTTCCTTACACATAAATAACTCCTAAACTCATATTTGATCTCAGAGATAATACTATTTTAAAATTTTTTTTAAGGTTCTCTTTATTAAACTGTGGTGTTGACTCCTCTAGTTTTGAGAAAAAATATTTCATTCCTAAAAGATGTTTTTTTAAATCATGTTTGTTGTCACATTGCGACCCACATTGCCCCATCTTTATTCAACTATTATATATTTTTGTATAATTTTCATCTTCCAAATTACTCTTTTATATTGAAAAGATCCTAAAAAAATAATTAAAAATCTATTAAAATATGGATTTATCAATAATCAACAAACATTAGGATGACTTAATGTTTGAAGACTTCAAGTCAGAATTGTGTAATGAAATATGTGTAATCTCATTATTGTTAGAAGAATTTTCTTGAGATGATTTTGACACAAATAGTTGGTAAGATTATTGTGCTTCTGATTATAGTCCATTTTGCTTGTCCATGTTGTAAGAGGACACGCATAAGAAAATAATGGCAATCTTTTGTAGCCACATGAAAGATATGAAGAAACAATATTCCTTGTTGTCAAGGTCAATGGCAAAACAATAAATAAGTCTTGATTAACAACAAAGTGACAATTAATATCTTGCCATACTATATGGCCAAAATCCTTAAGATAAGCTTGAAGAGCTTGATTTCCCATAATATGATGCTTACTAACTACACAGGCAACACATCACAAGCTAAAGGCATGGTAATTCAACCCAGAAAATGTAGAAGTTGGCTTTCTTATCCTATGGATTATACCATAGAAGAAGCTGCTAAATGTCTTTAATATCATGGATTATAAAAACTCATTAGTAAGGATTGTGGCCCACAAAATGACTTCAATAGATAGAAAATTAAAAGGATATCACTGAAGAGACCATTGATGATCAAGAATCAATCAAAGAGATTGCAAAGAGCTAAGAATTAGTCCAATTGACTAAACATTTGGACTAAATCTATGAAATAAAACTATTAGAATTTGAAGGATACAACAAAAAGCAAAAATAGAGGCTGAAGAAGTTAATTTGGGTAATTAAGATGAACCTACACTCACCTACATTAGTAAATTGCTAGAAGACGACATCAAGGATAATTTGGTCAATTTGTTCAAAGAATATAAAGACGCTTCACTTAGAACTACAACAAAATGCTTAAATTAAGTAAAAAATTGATCAAACTACACTTTTAACCTAATCAGAGGCTAGTAAAACCAGCACCTCAAAAATTTGTGCTTGAAATAAAATTAAAAAAATTAAGAAGAGGTTAAAAAGCTATTAAAGACAAAGTTCATTCGACCACTCAAATATGTAGGATTACTTTATAATATCATGTGTATGAAAAAATAACAAACTTAGAATCTACATAGATTTTAGAGATTTAAATGTTGTCACCGGCAAGGATGGATGAATATTTTTATGCCAACTGCAGAGATGCTAATTGATTTTATTGAGGTGAATGAGGTTCTTAGCCTACTCAATGGATACTCAGCGCACAACTAAATTCTTATAACTAAAGAAATTGCGTTAAAAATGACTTTTAGATGCCTTAGTGCCACACATGTAACACCCCAAATTTTGTAAGAATATTTTGTGTGTGTGTGTGTGTGTGTATATATATATATATATATATATATATATATATATTGATTTATTCATGTGAATATATGTTTGTTGAATTATGTGGCTGGTCTGGTTGATTTGGAGATTTGGCTAGGTGAGAAATGTAGAGGTGTTCTCGCTGTAGCGAGAGGACCCTGGGAGGAAGGCACAAGACTGTCGCATTCTCACTGTAGCGAGAGAGCGACAGTGAGAGATGCATTTCTGGGTGTAGTCTCGTTGTAGCGAGATTCTGCAGAAACCAGGGTGCAAATACATATCACTCAATGGCACGTCCAACATCCATAATCCACGCGGCATTCAATCATTCTACACTACAATCTACTTATTCACAATTTTACCACACCAATTCACAGAAAACATACAACGTGCAAGAGGTCGGGCACCTCCGGACTCAGCCCAGTGCGTTCAAACCATCAATATATACATTTTCTACTCTCTACTTCTAATATATTACCATACTCAATCAAATAAACTAATTTCTAACAAGAATAACTAGAGCAAAGTCCTCCCCTTACCTCAAAACGAAGCCCCAACGCGGTGCAAAGGTAGAAACAGCTTCCCCACTCAGATTTCGTCCCTAGGGCACACGAGAATTTCATGAGAACTCAAGGGGAACACAGAAATTAAAGGAGAGGGATGAAAACCAAAACCCTAGCCATAGAACTCACCTCCAAGAGCTCCAAACACTTTCCCAATCTTCAATCTAGCCTCCAATCGATCTTGAGGGGTCCCAAACGGTTGGAATAGGCTTAGGTAGAGAGAATCGTGGAAGAGGGAAGGGAAAAATGATGAAAATGCTCCACTCTTTGAGCCCTAACCCCTTTAAATACCTCTCTGGTCGCGACACGCCCTCTCGCTACAGCAAAAAAACTAGAGAAAACTGCATTCAGGTTTCTGCAGAATCTCGCTACAGCGAGACTGTACCCAGAAATGCACCCTAAACTGTCGCTCTGTCGCTACAGCGAGATGTCCCTCGCTATAGCGAGAAGGCAATAGTCGCATGCCTTTCTCCCAGGGACCTCTCGCTACAGCGAAAATGCCCTGCATCAGCACTTAACCTATACATACATTTACATTTATATCCAATCACACACGCGCATATACATACATTTACATATATCTGCATTCACACACATATTTCCACACCCACACTTATTCACATTTACACCAAGCTACCACCAATATACAAACTCACACAATATATATATATATATATATATAAACAAATATACGATTAATTAGTAATACAAAACTCAGGGCGTTACATATGGTGACAGTAATTTGATATAATAATGTGTGACATGGTACCTTGAAAGTTTCTGTGCAGCTTTGGTTGACAAAGTCCATCTAGTGATCAGTGATTGTGATGAATCTCTGATACTTATCCGGAGGATGGGGGACATAATTTCTATCTTTGTCATAGATATGTTTTCTCAAACGTGTTTGGAATGCACAAAGGTCTCGTCCTGCTAAAAAAAGAACAAAATCTTTGTGAACATCATCCACTTCAAAAGTTTGCTACATTGGAAACAAAAAACATATGAGATAAACCTTCTTGGATAAACCAATATAAAATAACTTAAACGATTATGATTATGTACCTCAACTTGCTCCCAAATGTGTTCTTTAACATTAGTAGGGACATTTGTCCAATCAGAATAACTGATTGGCACTGTACTCCTAGTAACAAAGCCAATGAAATGTGCAAATTTTGATCTGTTAGGGTCTATCAGTTGACCTTTTCCATTCCAGCCAACCTATATGTAAATATAAATCATAAAGACATTTTAGTATTACTAATATTAGCATAAAAGATTATTTGAATATCATTGCAAAATTCATTGATGGTGACAATTTACCTGTAACTTTTGTCCTAACTTTCTTGATTTGCTAATGGACTTAAATTTGGTAATCCCTCTACCCTTCTTATTTGCCTCAGTGGATTGATGAGGGGTACTCCCGTCCATGTTATCTGAAGAAGTCATCTCTGTAAGACAAAAGGTAAAGGTTAACATTAAACAATTACATTCAGGGATAAAGTAAAATCATAAAAGCAAATTATAATCAATTCAAATTTAATATGAAATGCATCTTTTTCTTTTTTTAGGAGCCTTACTAAGTTTCCTATGTCCTTTTATTGAATGAAATGACGGATTCAACCAAATGCCCTCTTCATGATTATGTCTTGCATAAATATCCTCGTCATCTGTTAATGTATCAACAATTGACATGTGTTTAACACTTCTTAAAGGATCATTTTCCATATTAACTTCTTCTTCTGTTAATTCTCCATCGGTGAAAGCATTTATTTTATTAGACATTAGGACAATTGACCATGACTTGTTAACAGGATCTTCGACATAGAACACCTGTCGAGCCTGTGATGCAAGGATAAACGAATCATCTTGGTAATCGACCTTTTTAAAATCGACCCTTATAAAGCCCATATCATCAATTCGAACACCACTATTGTTGTCTACCCACTTGCATCCAAAGATTGCTACACGAAAGTTAGTGTAATCCAACTCCCATATATGTTCATTGACTCCAAAGTATGACATATTTGCATATATTGGATTTTTATCCTTTGCATTGGAGATATGCAATGATTCAGCAACCAGAGTGACCCCACTATTCTGCATTGTGCTTTGGTCGTCATGCTGTTTTGTGTAAAATGTGAAACCATTGACTAAGTACGAAGTGTATGAAAAGGCATCAATACAAGGACCTTTTGACAACCATTGAATCATTTCTGCTACTGAATTGTTATTCTGTTTCAACTGTTCACCAACATATTCTTGTAGCCATCCAAGGAATCGCTGGTTATGTTCTTTTGTTATCCAATTCTCACATCTGGAAGGATTTCTACGCTTCAATGTCTCTTTGTGCAAGCTTATATATGGTTCAATTTTAGGAGTGTTTTGTAATACATACAAGTGTGCTTGTTCCCAATGCAGTCTAGGGACCTCTATTTGTTGACAACCACTGCTACCTTCCCCTAAAGTCTTTCCTGTGTGACGTGATTTTGGAATGCCACATGATTCAACATTTGACAGATATTCATTGCAAAATTTCACTGCTTCTTCCACTAAATATCGTTTAGCAATACAAATCTCTGGTCTGCTTCTATTCTTAACATACCCTTTTAAAATCTTCATATATCTTTCAACGGGATACATCCATTGCATATATGCAGGGCCACACAATTTTGTCTCTTCCACCAAGTGAATAGTCTAATGAACCATGATATCAAAGAATGACGGTAAAAAATACATTTCTAGCTCACATAAAGTTTCAGCTATTTGGTTTTACAAACATGGTAATCTCCTAGGATCAACCACTTTGCTACATATTGCCTTGAAAAAGAAACACAACTTCGTGATTGCCATGCGAACCTTCTTGGGTAGAATAGACCGTATAGCAATAGGAATTAAATTCTCTATTAATATATGGCAATCATGAGACTTCAATCCTTTTAACTTTAGGTCCTTAAGTGATACAAGACTTTTAATGTTTGATGAATACCCCTGTGGAACCTTAACTGAATAAAGAGTCTCACATAAAGCATGTTTCTCATATCTAGCAAGGTACATGCTGTTGGCGATAAAAAGGTCCGCTTTCCTTTCTTCACTGGAGCCAAATCAAATCGTATTCCCAACTTCACCAAGTCAAGTCTTGCATTGATGTCATCTTCTTTTTTTCCACAATGTTTAATAATGTACCAATCACACTTTCACAAACATTTTTTTCAACATGCATAACATCAACAAAGTGTCTTACGTATAAAGATTTTCAGTACGGTAACTGAAAGAAAATTGACATCTTCCAACCTACAGTTGAAATTTGTTTGGCAAAAAGTTTTTCAAATGTTGTTCTTATATGTTTAACCTCATCAAATATTTCTTCTCCTCTCTTCAAATAAGGACATCGTCGTTCTTCACAACTTCCATTAAAAGCTTTTTTCATTTTTCTGAAAGGATGATTTTTTGACAACCACCTACGATGTCCCATGAAAACATTTTTGTGACAATGGTCTAGTCTTACATAATCTATTTTTTCCTGACATATTGGACATGCACAGTGACCTTTGATGCTATAACCAGAAAGATTTCTATATGTAGGAAAGTCATTAATTATTCCATACAACATTGCCTTCACCGTGAAATTTTCATCTCTAAATTCGTCATATACTTCTATGCCATTATCCCACAATAACTTCAAATCTTCAATTAAAGGAGACAAGTACACATCAATGTCATTTTCAGGTTGTTTAGGACTAGAGATTAACACAAAAAGCATCATATATTTTTGCTTCATGCAAAGCCATGGAGGTAGGTTATACATTATTAAGATCACGAGCCATGTACTATGGGTGCTACTTTGCATGTCATGTGGATTCATTCCATCAGTTGCTAATGCAAAACGTATATTTCTTGTTTCAGTTGCAAACTCTTCATGGTCATCGTCAAATTTTTCCCACTACGGAGAATCTGCTGGATGCCTAAGCTTTCCATCTCTAATTCGGCCTTCAGCATGCCAAGTCATCTGCTTTGCATTTTCTACACTGCAAAAAAGACTTCTTAACCTCGGTATTAATGGAAAATACCACACGACCTTCGTAGGTGTTGTGTCTTTCTTTAGGTATCGTGATACATTACACTTTGGACATTTCCTTAGTGATGTATACTCATTTCGGAACAAAATGCAGTCATTAGGACAAGCATGTATCTTTTCATGGGTCAATCCAATGGAAGCAAGTACTTGTTTAGTCTCATATGTTCTCTTCGGTAGCACATTATCCTCCGGCAGCATCTCATGTAATAAACTTAGCAGCTCTGTGAGGCTCTTATCAGTCCATCTATTTGAGGCTTTTAAGTTATAAAGCTTTAAAACAAAACTCAATCTTGTGAACTTTGTACATCCATTATACAATGGTGTTTTTGCATCATCTTTCAGCCTCTCAAACATCTTTGGACAATCTCTAAGATCTTCTTCAACAACATTTGGAATTTGTTCAGCATGATCACTCTCATTTGTTCTAAATGTCTCTGAGTAATTGACACTTGATTCCATGTTAGTTGATGTACTTCCACCTTGTATCTCACCGTGCTTTGTCCAACAAGTATATTTTTCATCTATCCCATTGCACATTAGATGTTCTTCCAATTCTTCTGCATTTACTTGTAACATATTCAAACAACACCAACAAGGACAGGGAATAAGGTTGACATCAGTTACATTCTTAATCGCAAATCTAATAAACTCTTTGACTCCGTCTTCGTATTCCTCACTTAAACGATCAGCTACCATCCAACTTCGATCCATATTTGCTCCAACTACGGTTACGATCATTATAAATGTGAATGTGTTATTAACTCTCACATGGTAGGGCCCTATCCCATTTGAGAACAAACTTTTTCCAACCTTAATTAACAAATGCTACTTAAATGTTGTATTTTTTACTTGACAAAATTTGGGCAGCATTTCACATTAGTCTCCTAGTACACAACTTAAAATATATGAGATGATTTACCTCAATCAAGCATGCACCAAGAGACAATGAGAAATGCTTCAAACTCAAATTTTGTTAAGTATTAAATACAACATTATCATAAGCAAATGTTAACAAATTAATGAATAAGTTTGTTCACAAACTGTCCAACTTGGACAATTTGAGATTGAAAATAATGTTTAATATCAATCTCAAACGGGAGACTATGGTTTCACTCAATTTTACATTTGAAGTCATAACCTACAAAGTTTAATCACTAACAATAATCATGCATTCATCACATTCTACAATACAACATAAAATTCATTTATACACAGATGAAATATACATTTTGGTGGCAAAATAAACAAGAATATAAAAAATTTAAAAATCCTAATATCATAGGTTAACAAACACAACAGCATGCTCTTGCATTATAACTAACCAGTGTTCTAATATTATGTTCAACAAATCCTAAAAAACCATTTCAACAACATTTCAGAGGTTAACAAACTATGATTCAACTTGCCCATATCAACTTTTACAAAATAAAAAGTAATTTCATGCTCTTTGTTCATGCGGCAACAATGGTCAACATATTAACAATATTCAGTTCATACAAATTATAAACACAACAGCATGCACTAACCTGGAATTAAAAAAGGAGTGTTTGTTGCAGTTTAGCTAAGACCAGAAATGGAGGAGACGTTGTCACTGTTCAACGTCAAAAACAGAGGTACTTATCAGTGAACAGAGAGAATGAGAGAGTGCGAATGTCCAAACATGGCCACAAAACAAAGAAAAGATTATGAATATACCTTCAATTTTTGATTGCGATGTCAGGTGTGCTTGTTCCTCTGCAAAAATTTCTCAAAGAACACTGAACAAAGAGAATTTTGAAGTACAAACTTGATGGAGCGATAGGGATAACCAGATTAGGGTTTTAAAAATACATCATCTGAAAGCGGTTCTAATTGAACTGCTCTAAGAAGTATATATTAGAGAGCGATTGAGGCGGAACCACTCTCTTAGTGTTTTATACAAAGTGGTTATTACTAACCGCTATCTAAGTAGGCGCTCCAAAAGCCAATTTCTGGCGTAGTGTATGTATCAGTAAAAATATTACATAATGTGTGATGTTAATTAAGAACTTATTAGGATACTATGAGTGTGACCACTTAAATTTAAGTGATTTTTGTTCTAAAATATTTTTATTGTTAATATAATAATAAAAAAGTATTTTATGCAAAAATTACTTAAATAAAAGTTACAATGAATATTTATGGATATAGTTTCCTATTTTACCTTTGACATGGCTAGAAAAGATTAATGTCAGAAATCTTAAATATAAATATTCTGCAAATATGATTAGAATATGTCAAACACGAGTCCAAAGAAAATCTTGCAACTATCATATATTAAATAGCATCTTTCGCTTATAATGTTATATATAAAGATAACATTTAAAAATTCTTTGTAAAGATATTCAAAATATCAACGTGAGCGAATTTGGTTCGAAGCATTACTGGTATTTTGTACAACCTTTGTCCCAATAGCATTTGTACAACTATACCGGAAGGGTGGTCGAGTAAGACCAAACCTTTCCACTAAATAAATTTTTTAAATTTAAATATTTATTATTAATAATAAATATTTTATTATATCAAAGACTAACTTATAGAGAGAAATTTTTTTAAATCATAAAAATTATTTTGCAATTAAATTAAAAAAATAAATGTTCAGTACAAGATAAAGTACTTGATGTAACAAAAAAATAATTTTTAAAAAATTATTAATTTAAAAATATAATTTGATTAAATCAAAATTATATAAAATGTTCAATGGAAATTCATTAAATTAAACTTTTAATAAAAGAATTCCATAAGAAATTAATAATTTTAAAAAAATATGTCTACATATTTAACATATAAAGCTACAGTTTTTTTAATAAATCTCTAATATATATATATATATATATATATATATATATATGTGTGAATTAAATTTCTAATAGCATATGATACAAATACTTTCTGTGTACACAATACGTACTTCAAATTTAAATTTTAGCTGTCACTTGTAGGTATGTGCAAATTTTATTAGCTTAAATTTAATGTTTTTTCAATGATTTGACTTGTTGCCATCATTGTTTTTAAAATTGGACTGACCATTAAAATAGTGAAGGAACTAGTTCAAACTCATTAGTTAAAAGGAGTAGAGCCGATAATAAAAAATAAAATAAAATAAAATTATTTTTATGTTTGTTTAAGTAGAAGACAATTAAATTAAATTGATAATAACAAATTAAACCAATTTAATAAATTTTATTTTTATGTTTCAAGAGAAAACAGGTCATTTGATAGTTTTATAATCGAGTCCATTAACGCTTTAGGGTTATCCTTTGAAATTAGAGTTGTTCCCAACTCTCTACCTACCAGCTGTCAGCTGAGTATCACAAAAACAGGTTTGGGAGATTGATGACGGCTATATTCTTTTGCCAATCCCGTCCAATTACAAATTTGCAATGGGCTCACTCTCGTCATCATATTATGTTAATAAATCTAATATGTAGTAAAATAATAAATTAAATTTTATAAATGACAATTTTAATTTAAAATAAATTACTTAAAAATATATTTAGATACAAAAATAAATAAATAATACAAGCTTGGAAGGTCATCTCAAGCTTGTATAAATTTAAGTCTAAATGGATTAAGTTAAAACTTACATGAAAAAGTAGGATAGGATAAATTTAGCATATTCTATTATTTAAAAAAAGTATTACAAATAAGATAAGATTAAAAAAAAATTACCTTACATTATTCTTTCATCCTATCTACTGAACAGGTTTTAAATTTTTATCAAATAAATATTTTCTTTTACAATTAAGTAAATTAGTTTTTTTTTTCTATTAAACAAGGTTAAAATGTCCAACAAAATCAATAATCTACCATGTTAGAGAAGATTATCCCATAAGCATCCTCATTAAAAAAATGATATCACTTAAGAGGAGGGATAGAAAAGGATCTACATCCATAATTTTCTAAGTGTGTTATAGTAGATAACAAGTCAGCACACTTATCAATAACAGTTAGACTAATTAGAAGATATAAGTTGAAAAGTTAACTTAGAATTCATCTATACTAAAATGTGGTTGTAATTAAAAAAATTTCCTTGTCGATGACCAACAAAAAGACTACAAAGTTTGAAAGTTTCTAATGAGACCTCCATAAGTTGTCTTCTTGAAAATCATATTGGAAGAACCACCTATATTAAGCTTGAGTGTATCTGAGGGGAAAGCAAAGTCTAGCTTATCATATTTTATTTCTTAGAGAACTTGTGAACAAAGAGAATTTCAATCTTAAAATTAGTCACAACATAATTAGTATAAATTCAAATGAGTTAACAACACTCTAGAATCTATAAATTTATTATTAAATATAAAATTATTTTTGTTGTTCTATAAGTAATACCATTTCGATGTTTTTTCAGATTAGAAAATAGCCAATGATTTATCCTAAGACTAAATATAGAACTCTAATTCCTGCTTTAAATGACAGAATTCCAAAACGCAAATGCAAGGAAGAAATCTCTTTAAGGCATGCAATTCCTTTCTTGGTTACTAAATAATAGTTTATGATGGTATTATTTCAATCTAGGTTATTTGAGTCAACTTTATATTTTACTTTTAATATTTGCACCCATAGAGAGTTTAAACAGTTCAAGAATTTCCAATTAAGTTTGACCATAAACACTCTATTAGCTTGATTTAAAACCTTGAAGCTCAATCTCTCTAAGTTTTGACAAGTAATTTTTGTTCCAAAAAATTAGGTGGTATTTTTTATGATTTGAA